TTGTTTTGAGGGGATTCTCCAAGTACAGTGTTTCTTATTGGATATGTCATGACTGAGTGTTTGGAGTCACAGACGATGCACTCAGTTGTGATGACATTCATTTCCCCTTAAAGACCTGACACAGTTTCCCTGTCTTGCATCTTCTGGCTTGTCTCTGCCTTTGTGGTCGCCGCCCTGGAACCTCTTGGATCTGAGCCCCTCGGAAAAAAAGACATTTTTGTCTCTCCAAGAGCTGTGCTTCTTAGGCGTCCCAGATACAACTCAGCCTGGGGCTTTTAGCAGGCTGCCCGATCCAGATAAGTCAAGGCTGCAGACACACGGGGAAGACCTCTTCTGGGCAGAGGTAATTAAAGACAGCTCACAGAAATAACTGGCACGGCGAGTCCCTAGCCTTATCTACTAAACCTTTCTTAATTTGTAAAGACAAGAAGTGCGCATTTGCCAATCTTAATATTGCTTTGCAATGCCCTTAACTGGCTCTTTTTTTGATAGAATCTCTGTGTTGTTACTACGGCCTGCAGTTTGAGGTTTTGATTTTGGCTGCCCCTGTTTTTATCTCTCTATTTTGGTGTTATTAATACAAAGTTAATGTTTGTGTTCGTACGGCTATGGGGGCTGTTTTTCCTCTGGGTTGCCATTTCTGGTTCAGCAGAGCAATAACCACACAGAGACAGAGGCGGGGGGGGGGGCTTTCACCTCTTGGTGATTAAAAAAAGGAAAGTGCTTTGAAACTTGTGAGGAAGGTGACAGCTCGAATTACTCCAGCCTTGTCCTTGTGCAGGTCTCTGGGGCTTCCATCTAGGTCAGAAAACCTGTGAATGTCAGTTTACTGGTCTCCGTTTAGCCTGCGGTGGATATGTGTTAAGATCACAGAGCTGCCAAAGAGATTAGTGGCAAGGTTTGGTCAACTTGCCTTCACACATCCCACAACTAATTGATGGTGGAGTTCAAGGCTCAGTTCAGGAGCAACTGCACAGCTGGGCAGGGGGAACTCTTGCGGTTTGTGGGTTCACAGCCCAGAAGCCAATACTGACACTGTACTGGAGTGTCAGCATCTGGTTTCTCTTTAGCTCCACGATCACTGCCCATCACTGTGTGATCAATTACAGTACTTTTCTGCTTTTGCTTGCAAAGTTCTTTTAGGGTCCTATTTCGTTCAAGATTTCAGAAGACGCAAAAATGCTATAATTTAGGGAAACAAATAAGCTAAACATCTGTCTCTAATGAATATCTTAATTGGTGGTGGTGGTTGGGGGGGTGGTACCAGGCTGTCTGTACAGTGTTTAAACGCTTGGAAGCATCTGCTCTGTCATGTCCAAGGCTTGTTAGTAAGTGTAACACAATGGTAATGATGAAACAGATGTTTATATAGAAGCTGGAGCATCGTACATCCTTGAGGCGTTCTACCAAAGCAACTCAAACAGTAGGGAAAAAACAACTGCTATTAGGTAATATCAGGCAGTTTCCAAACTTTGTAATGAAGCAAGATGGAGTGGGAGTAAATCACGGACGTTATGACTCAGGAGATTTTACTACTAGGTATCGGTTTGGAGGCACTGACATACCAAGGGGTTGATTGTTAACATTCAAGCCTGGCAAAGGAGAATGTCTTGGCTTTTGGTGATTTTGTTAGCATGCTGCAGTCGCTGAGAACCCTCAGGGGCTGATTTGTATGTTTCACACATTGCAAGGCGTTAACGCTGTCATATGTGAAGTCTTTAACTTCTGCCCTGATGCTACTAGATTCAGGGCCATACCAGAAACCCATTTGAGAACGATCCAGCTACCCATCCAGTATCAGAAAACCCACTTACTCCTGCATACACAAACACACAGGGTCCATTTTGAAACCCCAGCTTACCTCTCCAGCAAGTTTGGAAGATGGGCCAACACCCCAATTCAGGAATTTGCGAATGAAATGAAACCAGAAAGAAGTGTGTAAGCGCTGTGAGACGATGACACTGTCAGGTTATCATGCCACTGTATTTCTACAACAATGGGTATTATTCAGGTTCAAATCCATTGTTGTATAAACAGGTAATATCTGGGATTGCAAAGGTGCAGTATGGATCTTGCAATAACCCAAGTTGATGGTGTTCACATTTCTGTGTGTGACCGGTTGAGAACACAGTAATGATTTGCGACACTCAAAGTAAGACCCTGACAGTATGGCAATTTGTTGCCCTTCACGCCTCAAATACAAAGCCCTGTGCAATGCATGGACCCATACTGTACCTTTACGATGAACTTTGCTTTGCTAGAAATGTTATGCGAAGCCCATAGTTTGCTCTACAGTGTCATTATTTTTAAAGTATCTTTTCTTTATTTTGAAAAAAAAAAACCTCAAACGGGTTTTGAAAACCAAGTCGTAGCAAGGGAGTAATGTTAAGGTCGTTTGTTGGGCGGTTAAAGAAAAGAGGGCTTCGCCACGCAGCGGTTCCTGGTTCAAACCTTTGCTCCGTCACTGACCCGTCAGTGTACCCCCCCTGAGGGGGTGAGTGAACCGCTTGTGCCCCGTCTTCAGCTGAAGTATAGCACTGAAGTGCTACTTCGAGCGACTCGGCAGCGGGCGTCTTTGATGTTGTACTTTCTCAAACCTCTGCACGTCTGCTAAATAACTGCTTACAGTGTCTAAACCCTACAAGTTGCAGAAGAAAGGCTGCTGGCTTAGGGAAGGGGGGGTGCCCATCATGTGTTTGATGCCCTGTTGTACCAGTACACTCATCTGAGGAGGTGTATCTGTCCAATTAACAGCCTACACGCTGAGCAGGAGATCGGAATCGTCGTTGCGCTCCAGGATAAAATCATGAAACGCCAGCTATTGTTCCATCTCATCACGCACCCCAAAAGAGGAGAGCAACTGGAATTGACAGTAATACAGCAGAACTCTGTCAGACTGCTGATTTAAAGACATTGTACGAATGCCAGAAAATTAAGAAATCTAATTGCAAATCCAATCAAAGCAATAGCATAACAACAAGAGCCGCTGGGATTGCAAATAAGAAAATACGAGCACTTTCTTTTAGGGACTTTTTAGCTTTGATGTGAACACCTCGCGAGGTTACGAGGTTAAATGGCAATTTTTTTTCGGGGGGGGGGGGTTATTATGTTAATTAATAAAAAGACTTTATCTTCCCTGTGTCTCGTACAAAATTAAGGTGAAAGAAGAACATCAGAACTGAAAAGATGGACTTGCACATACCACCAATTCTTCCTCTTCCTCTAACAATTGTTACTACTATTATTTGCGTGTTTTAGATGGAATTTAATATGGATTAGGAGCGACGTCGTGGTTTGTCTCAGTTTAGCACTCATTTCTGTAGTTTGCATAAGGGTGGAAGATAAATCTCAACCCAGACGAACCCAGTATTCGGATGGCAACATAAATTAGTCTTCTCGGATACAACAGAACATCAACGTCTTGTAAAAACAAACTTTCGCGCCGTCTTAGGCCTGTTTGCTGACCCAAAGTGTAAACGTAAACTAAGAGTCCCAATCTTATTCTCACTATTGTTTATTTGCATTGATTTATTTTTCTGAATTTCTTTGCATTCGAAATTCCACCGTTCTCTTTTACTCTCTGCAAATTCAAATTGGCAAAGTCCCCGTTTCCTATGTTGGCTATTTTGGCTTTGATTGCAGGGTGTCGGTGGAATGTTGTCAGAGCTATATTCCTACCTACTTTTTTTTTAGCGAGGATGCTTTTAAAAAAACTTTTCATGTGGGTAGAATCAACACCTACCTCCTTTTTAAATTTTAATGCTGTATACTGTATCATACGTTTTTCGCTTCTGTATTATTCTGTGACGTTTAAGACCCGTTAACTGTGGCTGGATGTTCTCCGGGCACAGTGGAATCATACGCGTGGGCTACGTGAAAAAAAATGAGACCTTGTTGTTCGCTGTAAACAGTCTTGCTGAGAGTGTGTGTGTATAATCCTGCTGTGCCTCTTTCTGTAATGGCCATACCTATACACGCTCTGTCGTGCGCTGTAGCGCGTGTTACAGGACGATTTACAACGATACACCTGTTCCTTCTTTCACGGACACGAGTCGCCCACCCCGCGAAAAACACACACACTCGCGCAAAGCGATAAACTCTCCCGCTGAGCACGTCCGCGCGCACACATGTTCGGCAATAACAGCATACAGCACCGCCTACATGTATTGCACAACCACGCACATACATGTTCTTGGAACAAATCCTTTACCGTAGACACCCACACGCATTTCTAACCCCCCCTCACAAAGAGCACACTATGCAGACTGAAGCCTGCGCGATGTTGTATAGCGGATGAGCATTCAGGAGCCTTCAATATGCCGAGGCAGACTCCGGCGATACCAGGGGAAATGTTGAAACGACGTAGGCAGGCGAGCCTGAGCCGATGATAGCGACGGTGGAATCGTTCCTTCGTTACTTACAGCTCTGCTCGGTAAAAAAGCAGACACGAGAAAACGGAACTCTGTCGCTCCTAAAAATTCTGCTGGGGGCCATAAAGCCTCCATTATTTACGCACTAGGAATGGATTCGGGCATTTGGAAATGTCCTTTTTGAGTGATGCATTTTCATTTTTCGTTTTGAAGTGAACGATTATACATGAAAACGCTTTAAGGCGGCCAAGCTACCTGTGACACTGTTTCCCTTCCCCACTAACATAACAAGTGCAATAACGAAGCGCTGAAAAGAAACGGGAGTCTGCCAGCCCAACTGCGAAAACGAACCCCCTTTTCCTCCCTTTCAATGCATCAATCCGAAACTGCAGAATCAGACGTGGATGTTTGTCATGCGGGCAAAAACTGGCAACAGTGGCAAACCACGGGCAACAGCCCCCTAGAGCAAAGAGGATTCACTGTACGTTCCTTTTCTGCCTGCGTGTTTATTTGCCTGGGATTCAAATACACGCAAGGAGTTACAGTTTTCTGTCTGGTTTTCGATTTTTGCCCATAACGCAAACCAATCCTTTAGCACTGAAAATATTGAAACAAAATAAACTTCCCTACCGTGAGAAGAGGCAGAATACTACAGCATCCTCGGATCCTCCTGTCCTCCCGTTTGCCTTATGTCTTCTTTTTGGTTTTTCTATTTAATCGGTTTCTCTTCTCCCCACATCAGGGCATCAGTGCATCTCCCGGGCTTTTACCGAAATCTCTCCCCCCCACCCAATACACAAAACATCCCTTTATTTTCTGACGGTGTGTGGGCGAGTTGAGGAGGACAGAGCTGTGTGTCTCCGGCTCCCTCTCTCGCGTCTCTGTTTCTCCTCCTCTGCGCGCTGCTGTCAGAGGCTGGCGCGGCTGAGCAGAGAGAGGTAAACTGGAGAAGAATTCAGCTGAGATTTTTTTCCCTTTCCTCTCAGGCTTGTCTCCTCCCTCTCGCCACCCTCCACTTTCTTCGTCTCCCCTGCTCTCTCTCTCCTTGTATTTTTTTTCTCTCTCTCGTCCCTCTTACTGCATCTCCTGCTCTCTCTCTCACCCTCTCCCATTCATTCTGTCTCATCCCCCTCCGTGCAGTCTGCCTTCCCCTGTCACTCCTCGCTGCAGCCTCGCTTGTAATTGCTGCTTGTTCGTTTTCCCCAGCGGCACAGTGGGGAGCAGCCGGCAGACAGAAATGAGGTGGGCTCCCCCACTCCCCTCGGCTCTTGACAAGTCGTGTCATAAATGTTTTAACAGGTTTACAGGATATATGCTGTACACTTTTCGCAGGTTGGACACAACAGCAGAGCAAGTGCGCGTGTGTGGGGTGCGTTCGAGCGCAGAGATTAGAAGCATTTGTCCTTTTTACAGCTACAGCTGTATGCAGATCTACTGCTGCTTCTCGCTTTCCTGTATTATAAATTAATGTGGCTCCTAAAGCCGACCTCAACACCTCAGGTTTCTAGAATCTCAATAAATTCATACCCACCTGTGACTGCGCTGCCAGCGAATGACTGGAGCTCCCGACTCGCGGGGGCAGTGCCGCCTAGTGGCTACAGCTGTTCAAATCGGTGAATGCTTTCAATTATGAAGCTCATAATGATTTATTAATAAACTAATAGTTGTTATGAAATTTCACCTGCAAATGCTACCCGGACAAAGACTTGACTCATGTGTCTGTGACTTAGTTAGCTTACTTCAAGGTAGCTCTGCATTTGTCACCCCTTAGCAATCCTTTAATGGCATGTAGAATATAGCATGGCACAGAATCAGACTTTTTCTTTTAAAAAGATCCCTTATTGCCCAAGCTTCTGGTCATGGAAGAGTGTCCCATCTTACAGAACTGGCACAGATATTGCAGTGGGACTGGTGGCCTTTTTTTTTTAAAGTGGGTGTTATTTCAATAACACATTATGAAAGAACCTTTGTCAACCCTAAACAGGCTGTGCTGCTTGATGGTTTAGACCTTGAACTGTCTTTCAAGGGGGTGCCTTTAACCTGCCACCTAACTTTAAGGAATATAAACTCATACTCTGCTCCCATATTTTCTTTAGACCCAGTGTGAGTGAGTATACAGGGACACATAAAAAATAGTGTTTGCATATGTATGTGCTGGACAATTAAGCTGATTTTCAGAGTGTTCTATGTTGCAGACCCTGGGTCAGTTTGTTGTTGAAGGACTGAAGGGCTTCGTTTCTGTCAATACAAAAGTAAGAGGAGTCAGGGAAAGGGTGAGGGTCTTTCTGACATTCAGAGGGGTGCAGGAGCGTTTTTCCCTCCTTGGCAGTTAAACCCTTATCAGAGGCTGTTCCACTGACCTTCAGAGGAAGCAAGCCTGTCGCCCGCATCTACTGACATGCATGATCAAAGTGGAGTGAAGCCGATCAGGCCGACACCAAGCTGTGTCCCCAGGAATGAATCTGCTTGCTTTAAGGTCCCTATATCCTGCCAAGCACCAGTTGCAGTGATGCAGCTCACTACCAGTTCCTGATGTGCTGCGCAATGAAAGAGGATTAGAATCATATCAATCGGGCTGCTCGTTAGTAGATTTGCATCACATATTGCAGAAACACAGATCGGATTTTTAAAAAGAGCAGGTCTCAAGATGACCTGTGGGTTTTGTGAATTTGTTGGTGGTGTGTGAGAGAGATTTAGGTGACATAAGGTTTTATAGCACAGTGCATCCTTTTTGAATTATTATAAATGAAGCACAGAGAATTCCTAGTCTTTGCTGAGAAATCTTTTAATATTTGCACACACAGCTTAGAGCAATGCCAATCATTCCCCATATATTTTCCCAGATCTCCTATCAGCTCCTTCCTCCAATATCCATTCTGATTCTTCAGTGATGCCCACAACATTGTGTGCATGCAAGCTCGCTCGGTTTCCTCCCTGTGGTTGGGCCCCACATCCACACAGATTACGCCTCCCTTTTTGCTTCTCCTTGGCCGAAGCAGCTGTGCGCCTGTGCGCCTGTGCTTCAAACACAGAGCCAGTGCTTCTCTCTGACTCCGCGCTCCTGTGTGGGAGCTCGCCCCCCGCTTGGGGAAGCACCTCGGGTGCCGCGATGATGTGGATGAATGTCCACTGACCCAGGGTCGCCTGGCGGTTTGTCATCCCAGGGCGGCGATGCGGAACGCAGGAGAGGGGCAGACGGGGCCGACAGACGGGCCGACTCGCTCAGAGCTCGCCGGCGCTGTCTGCCGCTCACCCAGAATGTCATCCCCTGGCAGGGGTCAAGAGGCGTCAAGCGGATCAAAACGGAACGGGGGGGCGCCAAGTGACACGAGGTAACGCACACAGGGGAATGCTGGGAGACTGCAAGCACCCACATCTCCTCTGAATACCAATAAACTGTCTGCATTTGAAAAGAATAATTAACCCCCCCAACCCTCCCCCGAGGATGGAGAATTCTGCAGATATGTCAGGTGTCCTTTTGTACAAACATATGATGATGTAAAAATGGCTTAAAATCAAAGTCCGCAGCAAATTATTTAATTATTCATTTTTAACTAGGATACATCAAAAAAGAACTCAATCCCTGTAAAGAGCACAGATTTCTACAAGCTGAAAGAGAGCTGTGGATAAACAACACATTTGCATTGTGTGCTTGTCTAACATGGCCCACACAATTCTCTCGCCAATTGCCTTAAATCGTTTTAAGCACACAGTCCTCACAGAGCATTTAGTCTTTCCGTATCGTCATTTGTTTATCTGTCAGCAGGCCCGTTCTGCTAATGGAATTCCTGATTGACAAGATCCATCTAGGCCCCTCTCCCAAACCCCCACCCGACCACTTCAGAAGCCTTTGCTGCCTTTCGATCATTAATGCCGAGCAAGAAACAGTCTCGTTTTGCAATGCTGACAAACAAAACCTGTTAAGAGGTGGTAAATTAAGTAATCCTGCTCCTATAAAATAGTAAAGGAGGGTGCTGGACTCTTTTCTGTCCTATGGGATGATGAAACAGGTAAGTAGAAAATACTCCCTCTGTGTTTTACTGGTTCTGCAGCTGAGAGAGCTACCGGAGACCATGTGGAGACTGTAAACAAATCCAGGCTGACATCTGCCTCTGCTCCTGTGCCTCAGTGATATATTGGAAGACAGATATGTGAATCAATGTGGTATTTCGGCACACAGGGAAACCTATTTAAGTTTAAACCCGTAAATGAAGGTGGCAGCCTGCAGTTTTAAAATGGATATGCAGCCTCACTTACACTGTAATTTATTTCCTTTGCAGAATTCATGCAGACCTTTTCTAAAGAAACATACAAAATACTAGGTAGGATGTTTTTCTTTAATACTGCTGCAGTTGAATAAGGTTGGAGTGTCTGGTCATTTGGAACTCGCAGTGCCCTGGCAGACAATGTACAGAAGGAATAGTTGTTGTACTGAAAGGCTGGTAATTCTCAGTGGATTTTGCTCCAATACCCAATTTTCTGTATCTTTTCTGTGTCCTGAATCTGAAGTCGTAACTACAGCAAGGAAAGATCCTTTTCATCTCTCACTGGCCATTACTGTTAAGACTCGGGCTTACCAACCTGCTGACATTTCTTCTCATTTTTGTGCTACAGAATTGAAACTGAGATTAAATTGTTCCTCACACACCTGAAAGGTGTTGAGTTATAAGTACCCTCCAAAGACAGACGTGTGCTGCAGAAGTGATCTTTGTCAAGGAAGGATGGAAGTATTTTGAGATGAAACAGGAAAATGTTCAGTATCACTCCTAGCCTTCATGTGTTCAAGATTTTAAGGGCTATAATGATGAATTCTTGACTCTGTGCATTCATGCAATTTGTGTTGCTGCTTCTTGCTTTGAAGTTAGTGTGGTCTCTAGAGAAGGTCTCATACCATACTTTTTAAGGATTCAGGACAATCCAAGCCTGCCTTTGACCGGTGCCTGGTTCCCTTTCAGTATGAAATGCAGTCCTCACCAGTGGAGACATGCCTTCTCACCAATGTCCTACCGAGATGTTGAACATAGTGCCACCTAATGGACAAAGCTGCTTAAAGCGATGCATGTGTTCAATTGTGCAGCTCATAATAAATGCCTTATTGATACAACACTATTGCCTCATGGGATTTCAATTGTTAGGCTTCAGGACTATTCTCATAACAGCTTTGTTCCAACGAAAGTTATCTACCAGAGAGTGTGGAAGTGCTGTGCACTGGAGCAGATGTGATTGTTCTCTTGGTACCTATAAGGATCTCTTTAACCATAGAAAGAAATTGTCTTCAGCTGCTGCTCCTGCACTCCTTAATGCCAGCTCCAAAGAATCAGTGCCAGCTGTCTTCTGTTGTGTCAACCTAAATTCCTTTGCAAAAGCATTTTCCAATGCTCTGTCTTTCTCAGGAATTGTTTGTTAAAGGGGGGTTACGGTGAGACTCCTTACTGGTGCTTAATTAGTTTTTTTGACTGGTTTGAGGTTTTTGCATGCCTTTAACCACTGTGCTGTATTGGTAATATTGGTAATACAGAGGCCACTGGACAATGAGGAAGGCCATGGGCCACATTGCCCACCACTGACTCCCCTTGCTGTCTAGAGGGCAGTGCTGCTGTCTGCACAGCTCAGGTTCCCAGAGCAGAGCAGGTGCAATAAAAGGGAGCTTTTAGATACTAGAGTGGCAGTGCAGGCCTGATGTGGAAAATATCTAGGTGTAAAGCAACACAGAATCAATCCCATAAAGAGTGAAGCTTTTTTGAAGCATTATTTCAGCAGCTCCGCTTTCATATCGGCTGCTATGCTGGAGCCCAGCCAGTCCAACTTGTCCATCTGAAAGTGAAACAAAAGCCGAGCTCCACCCTCCTGAAGCAGGTCTGGATAAGAGTGTTTATTTGTAGAAAAACCTGCACCCCCTAAGAATTTTGGATTAACTAACATGGCCACCTATTTCAGAGCACTGCGCTATACTGTGAAGTCTTAGTTGTAAGCTCTGCATGCTTCTGGTGTTGTAGCTAGTTTTGATAACAAAACCAAAAATATAATGC